TAAAAAATTAGAGCAAAAAATTATATGAATGCTGATGTTACAAGTATGATTTTTTTTTCACATTTCTTTTATTACTATTTGCTGAGTCTGGAAGGAGAAAGGGAGGCTGCCACTTTCCCATATGCTGTGAGGTCTACAAGGCCAAGGACTTTGTTGTGGTGACTTTTATATTCCCAGCAAATAGTATGGTACCTAGGCATTTACTAGTCAGTAGATATTTGATAGATGAATTAAAAGGACAAAGTGTATACAATTTTTAATGGTTCTTAACAAGTAGAGCCCAACACCTTCGAATCCAAATTTAGAGTGCCTTGATTCCCCAGGCCTGTAACTAGCTAGAAGCACCAGACTCGCAAGGAGGGTGGAGCACTTACTTGCTGAGCTGGTAATCAGTGCCTTTGATGAACTTGAGCTTCTCCAAGGGCACCCCAATGCTCTCCAGCATTGCCTTGATCACATTCTCATAATAGCTGGTTCGAAGTTCTAGAAGTTCCCACGGAGCCTTCATGTTATCCAGGTATGCATGCAGGTCTGCAAACAGAATTGTTACCTGGACAGAAAAGATAAGGGGTCACTAAAATGTGAATTTGTTCAAGTACCTCCAAACAAGCGAGTAAGTCTCTCTTTTGGCCGCTGCTCAAGGGCAACTGCGTGGTTTATAATATTAGTTCTTACCTCACATCCTGCTTTCAGGAAGTCTGCGATCTTCGACATGGGCACAAAGTAAGCCACATGGGGCCTGCCTGTAGTTGCTGTCCCCCAGTAAACTTTAAGTTCCCGCTCCTTCAGTATCTCCTTCAGCTTCTCTTCCCCGAGAACCTCCTGCAGTGGAAGCAGAAGAGCTGCTTTAATGGCAGTGTCCCACCTCACTCAACCAATAACCTCAGATATGCAGATTATACCACCCTAATGGCAGAAGGCAAAGAGGAACTAAAGAACCTCTTGATGAAGGTGAAAGAGAGTGAAAAAGCTGGCTTAAAACTCAACATTCAAAAAACAAAGATCATGGCATCCGGTCCCACTACTTCATGGCAAATAGATGGGGGGAAAAAATGCAAACAGTGACAGACTTTGTTTCCTTGGGCTCCAAAATCACTGCAGTGACTGCAGCCATGAAATTAAAAGATGCTCCTTGGAAGAAAAGCTATGACAAACCTAGACAGCGTATTAAAAATCAGAGACATCACTTTGCTGACATAGTCAAAGCTATGGTTTTTTCCAGCAGTCATATACAAATAGGAGAGTCAGACCATAAAGAAAGCTGAGCGTCAAAGAATTGAGGCTTTCAAACTGTGGTGCTGGAGAAGATTCTTCAGAGTCCCTTGTACAGCAACGAGATCCAGTCAATCCTAAAGGAAATCAATCCTGAGTATTCACTGGAAGGACTGATACTGAAACTCCAATCCTTTGCCACCTGATTCAAAGAACGAATTCCTTGGCAAAGACCCTGATGCTGGGAAAGACTGAGGGCAGGAGGAGAAGGGGGCGACAGAGGAGGAGATAGTTGGATGGCATCACTGACTCAAAGGACATGACTTGGAGCAAACTCTGGGAGATAGTGAAGACAGGGAAGCCTGGCATGCTGCAGTCTATGGGGTCCCAAAGAGTCAGACACAACTGAGTAACTGAACACCACCACCTGCTCATCCTTTACCCTGTGACAAGGAAAACAAAGGTACGTTTCACTGAGAGTCCAGACTCAGAGCCAGCAGGGAGGTCTAGCCAGGCTCTCAGTGCTGAGTGAGAACCAAAGGAAGCTGGTGCTGTTGCTAGTACCACTCCGGTGTAATGACAGTGACTTGAGGGAAACGGAGACTGTCCCTACCAGCATCTTCCCCTCCAACTGCCTTCAGCTCATGCTCCTTCCTTTCACAGCCAGTTTCTTGAAAGGTGTCTCTTCTGCTCTCCACTTCTTATCTCCCATTCCAGTCTGAATGCCACACAGCATCACACAACTGAAAATGCTCTTGCTAAGATCACAGATGGTCTCCAAATTGCTAAACTGAATGGATACTTTGTAGTCCTCACTTCATGGAAATCTCTTTCAGTTTCCTCTATTTTAGTTTTCCTCCTACTTCTCTGGCTTCTGTCTTTCAGATTTCTTTGCAGATATTTGTCTTCCTAATTATTTAAATGTTAGCAATCCTGGGGGCCCTCTCTCTTTTTACTCTACATTTTCTGTAAATGATCCTCTTCAGTTGCTTCAATTACTACTTATGAGCTGCGCTGTGTGCTGTGCTTAGCTGCTTAGTCGTGTCCTACTCTTTGTGGCCCCATGGACTGTAGCCCGTTAAGCTCCTCTGTCCATGGGGATTCTCCAGGCAAGAATACTGGAATGGGTTGCCATGCCCTCCTCCAGGGGGAATCTTCCCAACTCAGGGACTGAACCCAGGTCTCCCTAGTAACTACCAAATCTCCTGCTCACACCTATATAGAACATGTACTTGTTATCAACCCAGTTAATTCAATCACATGTTCAAAATTAAACTCATGCTTTCAACCTTTCTCCTTCACTCCCCAGGCATCTTTTTCACTTACAGTTTCACCCCTAGTACAGTAAATGGTACTGAGTTGCAAAAGCTACTCTAAAACAGCTCTTAAGTCCTCCTACTTCTTTCCACCTTTACACAACCAACATAGTCATAGCTATCATTAGATCACACCAAGACAACTGTAATAGCTTCTTAACAGGTCTCCCAAATCTACTCTTGTTCTCTTCAATCCACATTGCAAAAGGAAGCCAGAGAGGCTTTGAGAACAAAATTCGATTAACTCATTTGCCTATTTAAATACTTCATTTAATAATTTCCTTTGCTCTAAGACAGTATTAAAAAAATTCTAATAGGCTAGTGAAAGTGAAAGTCGCTCAGTCATGTCTGACTCTTTGCAACCCCATGGACTATACACTCCTATGCTGTGACAAAGGAGATTTTAGTGTTTCTTCAGGTGACAGTTTGGGGAAACTATTGGAAGCCATGAAAGACAAAAACTCTTTTGCTGGTTTGAATATCTATTGGCAGGACTTGTTAAAATCATGTGTTCCAAGCCAGTTGGAGGCTGATCCTGCATCCTTTAAGCCCCTGACTATGGGACATTTAGAGTTTTTACTACTCAAGGAATGGTCATATCACTTAACCTGGAGTAAATCAATGCTACTAGCTTTGTGTGTTATTTCTCCCCAACGTCTCCTTATGGAGAAAGGCTAGGAAACAAAGAATCTGGCTAAGGTGAAGCATGCAAGAATCTGGTTAAGATGAAGTTATGAGAATGGGACTTCTCTGGTTCAGTGGTTAAGACTCTGTGCTTCCACTGCAAGGGACGACGTGGGTTCAATATCTGGTTGGAAAAGATCCCACATGATGCGTGGTGTGGACAAAAAAAAAAGATCAAGTTATGAGTGAAAATAACTCAAAGGTCCATCAACTGACAAACAGAGAAATAAAATGCAGTATATTCATATAAAAGTAGTATTGGTTACTCAGTCGTGTCCAACTCTTTGTGACTCCATGTACTGTAGCTTGCCAGGCAACTTTGTCCATGGAATTCTCCAGGTAAGAATACTGGAGTGGGTTGCCATTCCCTTCTCCAGGGGATCTTTCCAATTCAGGAATCCAACATATAATGGGATATTATTTAGCTGTAATAAGGAACAGAGTTCCGGTAAGTGTAACAACATGGATGAAACATGAAAACATTAAGCTTACTGAAAGAAGCTAGACATAAAAGGCCACATATTGTGATTCCATTTACATGAAATGTCTAGAACAGGCAAATTAGAGACAGAAAACAGATTAGTGGTTCCCTAGAGCTGGGGAGAGGGGAAGAATAAACAGTGATTAGTAATGAGCACAGGTTATTTTTGATGATGAAAATGCTCTGGAATTAAATAATGATGGCAATTGAACAACCATATGACTACTAGAAAACCCACTGACCCACACACTTTAAAGGGGTGGACTTTATGGTATGTGAATTGTATCTTATAAAAATATAAAAGCAAGCTACTGCCTTCAGAATAAACCCCACTGTCAAACATTGCCTACAATACCTTCATGACCTGGTCCTTGCCTGCTCCTCCTAAACAAACTAGTAAAATGTACCATATGTTAGATGGTAATCAGTTCTATGGAGAAATAACAAAAAAAGGTAGAGTAAGGGATGAGGCAGTTTTATCTGGCAGGGGTTTGTTATTTAAATAAAGGCCACAGATGATATGACAACAGAGGCCTGAGAGAGTCAAGAGAATGAGCAATGTAAATATTTTCTAAGTGCTTCATCTGTACTTTGCTTCCTTTACTCCAGCCAAGTCAGCCTTCTCTCAGAACCAGTGGGTTCTTTCTCTCCTCTGGCTCTTGACCTGGGTTCCCTCTACCTGACACGTTTTTAACACCCATTATTCTGGTTAACTTCTACTCCTGCAGTTTCTGGAACCAGCACAACATAGGTGAAGTGATGAGGTGATCCGAATCCCTCAGGGCAGTTCAGAGTTCCTCAGCTTTCCCTGAACACTCTCCGCAGCCTTCCTCCTAACTTCCTTTCAATTAAGATCTCCGCGTAAAGCACCTTTCAGTACTAGTTTCGACTTAATTAAACGTCTAGATCCTGGGTCCTTGCAAACGTCTGATTTCCTCCAGACATGCTCTGGGAGGGTAGGGTCCTGACGTACCCCCAGCGCCTTAGCACCGAGCCCGGCACACAATAGGGTTTGTGAGGTGGATTCAGAGCCTGGCTCAACACAAGTAATGGCACACAGAACGTGAGACCACTGTGATTTCTGTAGTAACGGACTGACTGACCGACCGGCAGCAAGGACTGCAATCTCTCTCAGAGCTGCCTCGGCGCGAAATCCCGAGTACCATACATTTATGACCCCGTAGAGGTGCTCAGGATCACTTGGACCTCCGGCCCGTTGTCCCCAACCACGCACTTTCAACCCCGAGGCCCCACCTGCAGGTTCCGGGTGATAAGGTTTAGCTTCTCTTCAGGGCTCAGAGAGTCCCCCATGACTCTGTCGCTGCCGTCTCCAGCAGTTAGCCCGGCACCCGGGCCCCTTTCTCGGTCGCAGCCGCCGCCGCCGCGTGCCGGAAACTGTCACGCCGGCCAGGTTAGGTTGCATCAGCTGAACTCGTCCCTCGGCTTGACCGGCCTGCACCCTTCTCCTCCTACCAGCAGCCCGGAACAGCCAAGTGTCGAGCGGGTCGATGAGACGAAAAGGGGTGGAGCCTGAAGGGGGGCGGTGTGGAGGGCGGGGTTTCAGGGCCTAAGCCGGGCGCAACCCTCTGAGAGGCGGGGCGGTTTCCTGCCAATCATTGCCTGTTTGCCCTCCCCTTGGCGCTGGCCCGGCAGCCTCGGGGTGGGGGAGGTCGGGGAGGGGGCGATAAGATGGCGCAGGGGGCGGAGTGAGGCGCAGTCGTTCGCCTAGGCTGTGGCCCGGCTTCTGGAGGTGAACAGCTGAGGGAGGAGTGGGGGTCGGCGAGCCTCGGCTGGGAGGGGGAAGGGGGCGCCTGTTGCTTCTCCAGAGGGCCGCGCACGCCGTCCGCCCCGTTGAGGGGTTGAGGCCCTCACCCTGCTGGGAGAAGGGCTCGTTTTCGTTTCTGAGGTGATGGCGGCGGGAGGGGGGAGTGTCTGTGCCGCCCGCCAATTCACGTCGGCGGACGATAGATGCCCCTCACCCTGCCCAGGCAAAGGGTGCCGTCTGGTTACCCGAGAGGGGCGAACGACGTCTGTTTCTTTGCCCGGTGCGGGTGGGGACTGGAGGTGGCGGTGGGGGTTGCCTCTCCCCCTGCCCCAAGGCGGGGAGGGTGTTGCTAGGCAAAAAATCGCGGTCTTTCCGGCCGCGCCTTGCAGGCGGGTAGGCAGCGGAGAGAGGCTGGCCCGCCCCAGGAGAGAGCGAAGGTGTGGGACGGGCAGCCACCCGCAGGGTGAGGGTGTACCGCGCCGCTCTGCTGAGGGGCTGTTTGGCTCCTGCTGGGGGAGGAATGGGGAGCAAGCCCCGAGCTGCTCCCGCCTTCCGCGGAGAGGCGGGAATTCTTGGTCTTTGGGGAGGAGGGAAGAGCGAAGGCCCTGCCCGCAGGGCAGTGCGGTACGGCGGCTACAGAGCTTCTAAGGGAGAGCTGGGGGCGGTCAAACCTTATCCTACGTTGGGCGAACTGCGATCAAGCGCTCGATCGGAGGAGCCACCAGTTCCTTCCAGGGCAGAAGAGCGGGCACTTGGCACCGCCGGGTGGGCCCGGGAGAGTAAATGATTGAATTGCCCATCTGCTGCCCCAACCTGATTTCCAGTTTGATGGATTTGTTAGAGGCTACAAGCTTTAGCAATCCTGTCTAAATCATTTAAAAAACATTTTCTTTTTAAAGAGAAACCTGTTGCCTCAGCTGAGTAGTATTTGGCTTCTGTGGGAGGAAAGTCCTGACACCCTTATCTAAGTGAGCCGTTACCTAAAGCAGAGATTTGCGGTCCGAGTTGTTTTTCTTTCCTGCAGTGTCTACAATTACCTCCAAGGGAGTTGCAGAATTCTTACAGATAATTGCAGTTCAGTTTAATTTGGCTTAAACTTTATGCCCGTTTCATGGAAAGGCCACCAAGTGTCTTTAATGCTATACGTCTCACACGTATTGCACACAGTAAAGGTTGGAAGTCAAAGCTCAAAGATCAGTGGGTCTTTTTGGAAATAATCCTTGCCCTTGGCCAAACCTGTCAGATCCAGCTTGGTAATGGTCTTGGTTTTTAGAGCCTTGAAAGAGGGGTATGAGGTTGTGTTTGATGTTGCAGTTTTAGTGGCCTGAATAATATAAGGCTTGTGTTTTAAGGCAGTAGGTTTTCTTAGGTACGGTAAAAATAGAAAGGGAGCTGGTTTCTGAGGTTGCATGCAGGTTAGAGAACAGAGCGAGGGGGTGGTAAACTGAAGTGTGAAGGAGGGGGTGGACAGATGAGAGAGACATGGAAGGACAGAATAGGGTCACAGAGAATTAAGAGAGAAACGGGAGATGGGAATTATATTTTTCCTTTAAAAATAAGATTTTCATATTTAATTTAAATTTTTTTTTTTTTTTGGTGGTGGCATGTGGGATCTTAGTTTCCTAACCAGAGTTTGAACCCCGAGCCCACTGCTTTGGGAGCATGGAGTCTTAACCACTGGATTGCTAAGGAAGTCCCAGGATCTTCATATTTGAGATTACTACAAAGCAAGTACCAGGAAAGGCAGATGATGGTAGAATGGCAGACAGGCACATACTAAGGCCATCTTTGTGGAACTTCACTTTATCTTTTACATTGTGCCTGTAGTATGCTAAGTGCTTTTGTATTCATAATCTCATTTTTAATTCTTAGAAGGACCTTATGAGGTAGGTACTATGATGGTCCCTATTTTACTTGAGAGGACATTTGAAACTTCAAAATGTAATCATTGTTTCCCCACTGGCTTCTTAATTTTAAAATGGTTTTATTATTAAATATTTCAAGCATATAAAAGTTACAGTTATACCATATAACATAATAATGAATACTATTAACCCCCCACTCAGCTTTATTGTTTTAGGTCTTTTCCTGTTAGTGATTTTTAAAGAAATAAAACATTACAAAAAGAATTGAAGCTACTCATGCCCCCTTACCATTCCTTTTCCCTCCTCACCACCAGAGGTAATCACTATCTTGAATGGCATGTTTTTATAATTTTATAATACATCCATGTTTGTATCCATACACAGTTTATGTTATTGTTTCTTTAGCAAATTGCAAGAAAAAAAAAGATGGGAATCTGGAGATTAAAATACAAGATTTATCAGCCAACTTTAATGTATGGACCTTACTTGGATACTGTTGTGGTTTTTTTTTTTAATGTGACATTTTAAAAATAGCTGAAAATATGAACTGGATATTTTATGATAAAGAATTTTTGTTATTTACAGATGAAATGATGTGATGCCTGGGATTTGCTTCAAAATAATCTGGTAAAGGGGGTAGTGGATGGGGCAAGATTAGCAATGGGCTGATAGTTGTTGGGGCTGGGCGATGGGTATGTGGGTATTCATTATTACATTGTTTTTGCATATGTTTTCAATTATAATAAAAATTTTTAATGAGGTGATTGTGAAGAGAATGATTTGTGCAAGTTAAATAGATGTTTGTGGTATTGTTTTGCATGCTAAGAGCATTCAAATTTAGAGCAAAGTTAGACCTATTGGAGCATTCTGTGAGGAAAGCTCAGAAGAGCTGGCTCTGTGCCTCTGGATGTCATGTGGCGTAGGAATTGATGCTTTCAGTGGCTATGGAGACTATTGGTCCTGTGTGTGCACAGTAAAGTTAGCAAGTAATGATTTTTTTTTTTCCATTGAGGTTTGACCACTTTCACAGGTCATTTCTACATTCTTCCGTTCCACTTGGGAACTTAAGTGGAGCCTGTGCATAATACAGTGGCTTAAATTATTTTTGCCAAGGGACCAAAAACCCTCTTTAATGTCTGCATCCTTCATAGTATATTAGAGAGTGTACTGAATGTAGAAGATTTCCATTTGCTCACTGACTCTGGGCAAGTCTATCACAAGGAAGGTAGAAAAAGCAAGAAAAAACATTGCCTTTGAAATTAAACTTGGGTTTGGATCCTTGTTCTAGCATATTAGCTCTGTATACTCAGTACGTTAAATGCCTCTGAACTTTAGTTTCCCAAGAGTGAAAATATATTGAATTCTTCATTTGGTTAAGCAAGTGCTTAGACTAGACCCTTTGTTTTTTGTTTTTTTTTTGGCTGTATCGCACAATATGTAGGATCCCATGCTCCCTGCAGTGGAAGCCCCCTGCAGTGGAAATGCAGAATCCTTACCTAACTGGACTGCCTGGGAATTCCCAGGACTAGACTTTTGGAAGGAGTAGGAGAGTGGCGATAGTGACTCAGAAATTCTCAGAAAGTGGCTACTTAACCCCAGTGTCTGTCATACTTGTGCTTGACAAGCACAAACTTTATTAAGTAAAGGAAATATTTTTCAAAAGTAAACCTTTTTTCTACTGCTGCCTAAAGAAATAACTTTACTCTGTAACCCAGTCACTGGGCAGAGAAATTACTTTTTTCTTCATAGAGACACCTGCTTCAGTGCCTACCTAGAATGTGTTCAGTTGCTCAGTTGTGTCCAACTGTTTGTGGCCCCATGGCCTGTAGCCCGCCAGGCTCCTCTGTTCATGAGATTTCCCAGTCAAGAATACTGGAGTGGGTTGCCATTTCCTACTCCAGGGGATTTTCCTGACTCAGGGATCCAATTAGCATCTCTCTCTTGCATCTCCTGCATAGGCAGGCAGATTCTTTACCCCTAGCACCACCTGGGAAGCCTGGTGCCTAGAACTCTTCCACGATTGCTGAAAAATTGGTAAAATAAGATAAAAAGTCATAGCAATTCTTAAGTTTATAACAGTTTAGTTTCTTTGATAAGACGTGTGTTATAGAGTTACATGAGTTAGAGTTGTAAAATGTGTCTCTCAGTGCATAGTTTATAGTATAGGTGCTTAACAGTTTTTCCCTTTTTGTCCCATTTGTCTCATTTCTAAGATGAGCAAGGCTTTTTTTTTTTTTTTTTTAATTTTCCCTGTTTTATTGAGATGTAATTCCCATATAACACTGTATTAGTTTAGGGCTTCCCTGGTGGATCAGTCGGTAAAGAATCTTCCTGTAATGCAGGAGACCCGGGTTCAATCCCTGGGTTGGGAAGATCCCCTGGAGAAGGAAATGGCAACCCACTCCAGTATTCTTGCCTGGAGAATTCCATGGACAGAGGAGTCTGGTGGGCTACAATCCATGGGGTTGCAAAGAGTCAGACACGAGTGAGTCACTAACATTGTATTAGCTTAAGGTATACAACATGACTTGACATATGCATATAATGCAAGATGATTGCAATAATGAGTTAACATACATTACTTCACCATAGTTCTCTAGTGCTTTATTGCCCATACCATTTTGTATATTCTTATATTGGTGTGTAAGTTGAGTGTTGTCTTTATTGGAAGATTATACATTCCTTGAGGGTAGAATCCATATCTTTATTTCTTAGAAATCATATAGAGACATACTATGTAGCTCAGTCATGTGTGTTGATGGTAGCTTAGAAAATGTTTTCTGAAAGAATACATGAACCAAAACTAAAATTTAGAGAGGGAAGTGGGGTGGGGAAGAATTTACAGTTAAAAGGCTATAAGAATTTTCCAAATTTTCTATCACTTTTGCCATCTAGAAAATAATGAGAGATCAGGTCCATCATTAGCTACTTAAGACCTAATTTTTAATTATACAAGTATATATAAATATCAAGTAAAGTAGTGAAGTCTCCCCTTGTCTCTCTCTCGATGCCCCTGCAGGTTATTATAATCATCAGTTTTGTGTTGTGTTTTTCTAGACCTGTTCTTTGTGTTTAGGTATGTATTGAAAATGAGGTTTTTGTATGTATGGTCATGACTACAACTTTTGGATCTTGGTGGAATCTTCAGTTCAGTCGCTGTTGACATCACCTAATCCCAGTTCTCTATCCCTTCCATATTTTTTAAATGAGGAAACAAGTCCTTGGTTAAATGGCTTGCCCAAATTATCACAACTAGTTAGTGACAGAACCAGGACCGTAGCCCAGGTCTTTAGACTCTCAAGACCGTGTTCATCCTACTAGAGCAAATGATATTCTTGAGAAAGTATAAATTGTTGGGAGGAAGAAAACTAGTTCCTTAAGTTGCATAATTTTTCCTCTAAAGATTTTTCTTTGATGTTCTTGACTCAGAATCCAACTTTGTGGTATTTTAAAAAATATCAAGATCAAAATTAATAGATGGAGTACCTTAAAGCATAATGCAGTTGACTTTGTAATTAGCAGAGTTGAAAGTGATGAGAAGATCCTCTAATTTTCTTTGTGCCTGCAGGAAGGTGGGAGTCAATCATTTTGACAAGTCTCCCGAAAGGAACAGCTAGCAGGAGCTGAACCCTTTTTCCATTTGGTCTCGTGGCAAAGGCAGAGATCACACCAGCAGCTCCACACAGTATGAAAGACAATTTTTTTTCTTCTTGTATGCATAAAATTGTTTCTTTTTAAATTAAAAAAGTAATATGTGTGTTTTCTAAAAAGTATACACTGTGAAAATCCAAACATTTTATATATACATATTTGTTTTGTTGTATGTTATAGATATTATTCCAGTGATACTACATACAGATCCACTTCATTGTTTTTAAATAATTGTAAAGTATTCCATAAGATGAATGTACCATGATTTTAGTGAACAGTTCTGGTGATGGACATCTAGGTTGTATCCAATATTTGGATGTTCTGAATAATACTGCTTTGAACACCTTTATAACTGTATATATGTGCCTTTGTACAGGTATTTCTGCAAGGTAAATTTCCAGAAGTGAAATTGCTGAGTCAGATGCTATGGCCAAATTACTCTCCACAAAATATTGTACTGATTTATACTCTCACTGATAGTATGTGAGAATCCTTGTTTCTCACATTCTCACCAAAATAGGTTATCGTGTCATTTTAATGTTTGCCACTTTGATAGGAAAAAAAAATCTCATTGTTATGATAGCTATTCCCCTGATTCTGGTAAAGTTAAATATCTTAGAACTTTCTCGTGTTACAAGTCATAGTGCAAAGAATTTGAAATACTAAGACACTATCACTCTCTAAAGCAGATTGGAGTTGTTAAAAGGGTATTTCCTGTTCTCAGTGAAACTGCCTCTTATTTCTCCAGATATGATGTGCTCACTAGTGCCCTCTGAACAGTCTTCTGGTACCTCTCTCTTGCCTAAAGACAATGCTCCTTTTTCTTGGAGTTCCTTGGATGAGGATGAATTGGATGACTCCTTGCTGGAGCTATCTGATGGAGAAGATGATGGCCATTTCAGTTTCACAGAGGAACAGATTCAGGAACTCTTGAAGGATGATGACCTATCAAATGAGCACTTTCCTTGGGGAGGAGGGTTGCCTAATGATGACAGCAGGAATGTTGAGAAGGGAGAGAAGGGGAGTCAAATTCCACTTGACACTCCCCAAGAGAAAGATTCACCATACAACATGGGACCAGAAGCTGAGACCCCTGACACATTCAAACTACCTCAACTAACTACATCAGTTGGTCATGGACCAACTCCTACTAAACCATTGAACAGACGCTTTGCACTAGAAAAGAATCTTATAAAAGTTACAGTTGCACCATTTGATCCAACAGTTTGTGATGTTGTACTTGATAAGGACAAGACTTATGTGTCCAAAGTTACATCCAGAGTTACTGAAAAACCCTCCTCCCTTGGGGAAGAGATGAGAGAAGATGATCTTAGCCCAAATGAGAGCACACTTTGCACAGAATCTGAAGGGATCAGCCCCAATAACTCTGCCTATGATGGGCCCCCACTCCCTTCTTCAAACAATAATTTTCAACATACTGTCTCTGATAAAAACATATCCAACAGTAAGAAACCTACGCCTGTATTCTCTCAGATCTTGGACCATTCAGAGACTTCTAATACAGGGTCATCCTGGAGAAATGGATCATATAAATCAAGTTTTGAAATGAAGTTACCAGCTTCCAGTTCATCAAGCAAAGTAAGTATGTTTTTCAAGGTGAAGAGAGGAATGAAACTATATAACAGAGCTTTGTATTCAAATAAATTTGGGTTTGATGCCTAACTAGCACTGTGTCCTTGGGCAAATTACTTAGATTCTCTGTTTCCTCATATTTCTTATCTATAAACTGGAGTGAGTAGTACTTTATAGTATATGGAAAATTAATTAAATAATATATTCATAGTAACTGGTATATAAAATTAACCATTTACTGAATAAGATGATGATTTTACTATTCTACTTCTTTTCCTTGAGATTACTATCATCTCATTTAAAGCACCTCTGTTAGTACCTGGTACAGTAAAGTTTACAAGTATGCTTATGTAACCTTTAGTTCAAGAATATTTCCATAAGTAATATTTTTAGTTATTTTCTTATAACTAAGGCCATCTTTCCTTCTTCATTCCTTCTGCTCTGAAAAAAGCAGGATGTTCTTGAGAAGGATTCTGGGAAGCTAAAGGTCCATGAAAAAAGACTAGGCAAAGTCATTCCTGTTCTGCAAACCAAAACAAGGTAAGGATATAGTGAAATATTCTGGTTTCTGTTGGTTCTGTTCAATTGCTTTCTTGCTCTCCTGAGTTTCTCCTTAGTGTGGGAAAAAAGCCTTGCGCCAGAAGTAAGCATACTTGAAGTTCTGGGACTACCAATAACTGTGTGACCTTGGACAAGTCAAATACTCTCTGACCTCAGTTTCTTTGTCAATAAAATAAGGCTAATGATGCCTTCTCTGCTGCCTCATAGGGTTATTTTTAAGAAGAAAAAAGACTTTAGTGAAAGCACTGTATAAATGTAAGATTTCTTTTCCTATGTGTGGGGAAGCCTGTTCACAGGCATAGGAAGTTAGAATAATTTTAACAAAAATGTTAAGATATATCTATGTAGAAAGTCATTTAAACATTTCTCCCAACTTGCATATATCTGTCCTTGGTGAAAAAATTTTATAGAGGTTGCAGATTTGGGTCACCTTTTCAGTCTATTTTCTTGTTGCCAGGAGATGGCAGTATCTCTACATGGGCCTTTTCAATTAGCAAAGCTATTTTTTTAGGTTGTGTCATATGTGCTTCCTTACAGTGAGATTCTTTTTAAAAATTTGATTACAGATATTAAATTTCTTCAGTAGTACAGATAAGGCTAAAGTCCTTTGACTATAATCCCCTAGTCCCAGTTTTCTGGGTTTTCTCTCTTTGTTTTGTTTGGGTTACTTCAAGGAGCTTTGTGAGTTGCATACAATGAAAATTATACCAAGGTACACAAGTTAGGCTACTTGGAGCAGTAATAAATTCACAATCTCGTCCACAGACACTCAGTACAGTATAATCAGCATGAACAAAGGCCAGAAGTTGTTTGTGCCAAGGTCACCAATGTTTTAATTGCCAGATCTAGCTGATTCTTTTTGGTCTTTATCTTACTTAATTTTTGTGTGGCTCTATGAAGTTAGTTGTTTCCTTACTAACCTTGAATTGTTCAAAATGCTTTCTCGGTGGAGTAGGTAGTCTTCATTTTGCTATGCCTTGTTAAGGAGGTTGTATCTTTTTTCTTCAGCTCTATACTTGATTACAGCTTTGCATTACGTGACTAACACTGTCTTTTGTCATTGCATCTTAGTGTTTTGAGAGTTCATTGTTCTAATCCATTGCTTCCTTGGTGGCTCAGATGGTAAAGAATCCACCTGCAATGCGGAGGCCTGGGTTTGATCCCTAGTTTGGGAAGATCCCCTGGAGGAGGGCATGGCAACCCACTCCAATATTCTTGCCTCAAGAATCCCCATGGACAGAGGAGCCTGGTAGGCTATAGTCCATGGGGTCACAAAGAGTCGGACACAGCTGAGCAACTAAGCGCACACAACCCATGAACAGTATATGAGTCTCTACAAAGCACTGTCCTCGTGGTTCTAACCGATTATTTTTCCTCCTGGTTTGCTTTGATAAAGGACTAATGTTCCGACGTTTTCACCGTCAGACCTAGAAAAGCAGAAGCAAAGTTATCTCAGGAATGTCATTGCTCATATAGAAGACCCAGTGGATTCAAACCAAGGTAACATGGTAACCAAAGAATGGCCTATGAAAAATATGGTGAGACTTTTTTATTCCAGTGTGATATAGCTTAAACTGGGAGATCGTCTTGAATTTTTATAAATTGGTGAGAAAGATAATTTCCTTATCCAAAGGTTTTCACTTTAAGGGATTGCCTAACCAGATAATCCTCAAACTTGTTTGGCTAACTAGTATTAGAGAGGCATCCAAGGAGACTCATACCAGTACATGAAAAGAGTCTCCCCCATGGTTGAGGTCTATAACCAGACATTTTTTGCCTGGGATTTTTTTGCTTCAGATTTTTTTCGTCTGAAAAATAGTAGAAATGACAACCAGGCACTGCTTAGTAATCATTGGGTTTTTTTTTTTTTTTTTTAATTTTTATCCCTGTTGCCTTCAACATTTAAAAGTAAAAAGCAGGTATTTTGGATACCATCTTGCATCTTGGCATTTGAATAAAAGCTCTTGGAAGGGTTGACTACTGTTCAGATTCTTCAGTCTGTGAGTTTTTCCTTGTCAATCAAAAGCTGTTGCAAACCAAAATGGCTAGATTCTTTCTCCAGGCCTCAAGAGACTATAGTTCATGTTTTTGTTCATCCTGAACTATTAGCTGATGGGAAGACTCCTAAAGGGAAGCTTGTAAATTATACTGAAGGTTTGGAGATTAGAAAATACTGGTGAAAGAATTGCTTCAGTTCATATTCTGTCATCTTAGCTTCTTTCTGTATTCATTCAGCACAGTTTTCTCAGGTACTTTCAGTAGTGCTGTTTGAAGATAAGGGATTGAAAATGTAAAGAGTTAATGCAATATTGGTTAGTGTTCTAATAGAACTATGAATAAAGTGCAGTAGGTACAGGGAAGAAGTTTGTGTTTGGGAAAGAAGAATGTCCTAAGCAGCCTCTACACAGAAGATAATTTAGTTCAGTTACTCTGAGATCTATTGTAAATCAGTAGGGAGGATTTTAGAAGGATTTTTGGCCAAAGATCCAAGGAGAACTCTCCTTTGTTTGACAAATCTTGAGTTACTTGGTAGTTTTTTCTTTTTTGTTTTATAAGGCTATGAGCTAAAAGTTGAGAACTCTGAGATATCAGCCAGAAGAATTTTTACTCCAGGTTCTTTTATGTTTTTCCTCAGATTTCATTAAGCAATCAGATGCACTTGTACTGATTGCTTGGCCCTCTACTTGTGAGATCCCTTTGCTTGAACTAAAAGGATGTGTGAAACTAGAGACATCCCCACCCCCGCCCCTGCTGTCATTAAAGGGGCAGATTAAAAGTAGTTCATCTATATTCAACCTCTGTGGAAGAGACTTGATCATTTCTCCCCTCTCTAAGGTGACTTACTTTCTCTTATACCTTAGGTAGTTGACAATGATGATATCCAGTCACATTTTCCTTTCTCATTTGGGGCATTTAAAAAGAAAATTTCATGGGAAGAGCAGTGAGTAGCTGCTCATATTACTGTATCTTTTCCAATCTCTTCCTCATTCAGCAATCCCTCTTCCATTTTATCACAACAATCTATATCCCATAAGGGACAACTAGAATAACTAAGAGAAAAGTCAGTTGCTTTAGTGGTTGGGAGAACAAAGTCTGGTCTAGGGTTAATACCTGAGTTCATACCCTAGCACCACTGCTTACTGACTTTGTGACCTTGAGCCAGTAAAAACTCAGTTTTCTCATTTATAAGATGAAGATAACAGTGAAGCTTAATTGACATGAAAATTATATGTGTAAGTAGTAGTAGTATACATAGAACAGTACCTTACCATAGGAAGTTTATTGAATATTTAGTATTATTAGCAAGAAATTGTGTCTTCTCATACTGAAGTTTTTACAGGTAAAATAATGTGATGTCAGGTATTTGTTTTTAAATCTAAAAACAAAACAATATAAAAAACTCAATCTGAAAAAGTCGAGAAAACAGCTTTACAAAAATGTTGATAAATGAAGCTCAGTGACTGTCATTGAGGGTGAGGGTGCTTATTATATGCTAGTCTCTACTTTTGTGTATATTTGAAATTTTCCATAATAAAAGGGTGGGTTTTTTTTTTTTTTACGTGCATCTTTTAGGGAATTTCTTTTTTGACATCTTAAGAATTTTCGACATTACCAGCTACTCTAAAACCTTCATAGGCCTCCAGTGTTTTCTTCTGCCTTTCAGAAACCCAGTGGGATACTAATTTCTGTGTTACTTTCCACACCTCAAAAATTTGAAGATTTTATATATCATATTGCAGGGGAGATATGGGCATATTCTTTCTCTCCTTTCTTTATATATGAATTACTGGGCAACCGGAAGCAAAGAGAAGGAGCAGAGTACCTCCTGTCCTTTTTAAGATGTTTAGTGCTGTCTGCCTTGGAAGGGTTTAACTCTTCAGGCCCCTTATTAGACACAGAGAAATAATAGCGGACAGATTCAAAATTAGTTCCTATCAATTCAATTTGATCCCTCTGCATTAGGTTAAATCATCTTTTACAGTTTATCAGTAATTTGTATATTATTGATCCAGAATATAATAATTAAATCATCCTTCAACTCCATTATTATAATATAGGTATAATCTCTTTTTAGTTTAGTGCCACATGGTTCATTAATAGCATTTACAAAGAAATACATACCACTTCCTTTTTGTCATCCCCGATAACAGATAATTTTATATTGGATAATAAATTCTTAGAGTTGGAAAGTACCATTAAGATCGTCTCCTTAATCTCCTACCATGTAAATCTATGCCATATATCTTTGCCAGAAGATTATTAAGCCTCTGCTTAGCGTCTAATAGTGCAGAACTCGTTACCTCATGAAGCAGGCCGTTTATTGCTTGGAAAATTCTTTTTTATTTAATTGTAGTACAGTTGATATACAATGTTGTGTTAGTTTCAGGTGTACAGCAAAGTGATTTAGTTATACATATGCATATATTCATTCTTTTTCAGATTCTTTTCAGAAAATTCTAATTGTTAGAAAATTAGTCCTTACATTGACCAACTTGTGCTTCCTTATAATTTCCAGTGGTAGTTCCTAGTTCTGTCCTCTAGGATCACAAAAAATAACTACTCTCTTCCATTTACTTAATGTATTTAAGGACCTGTCCATATTAAATATCTCAAATTAAAGGGTTTTTAATGATTAAAAGAATCATATAATTTATTATTCCATCTTGATAAATTAGGTTATATCCATTTTCTTTTTTTTTGTTTTTGGTTATGTCCATTTTCATTAGTAATGCTGCAGTGAACATTCTGGTTCATAAATGTTTATGTACAACTCTTATTTCTATAGGATGAATGCCTAGAAGTGGAATTGCTGGGTAAAGTATATAAACATTTTTAAAACTTTTGTTAAATGTTACCAGATTGTCCTGCCCCAAAAACTAGTATTAATTTTTGTCACCAATTTGATAGGTAAATTTTAACATTTTGTTTTAATAATTAGTGAGTTTAAATATTTTCACATTTTTTGGTAATTTATATTTAATCATAATTCCTTAAAATTATCTGATATCTAATCTGTATTCCAGTTTTCCAAAAAATATCTTCTTATAAAGTGTTCAAGCAGGATCTAATCAAGGATCATGTGTTTGGTTATCATCTCCTTAGTCTCTCTTAATCTGGGTCACTTGTGTTGTAGATTGTCCTTTTGAATTGTGTCTGATTGTTTGTGGTGGTGTTTAACTTGTTCCTCCATCCACTGTATTTCCTGTAAACTGGAAGTTGGGCCTAGAGAAGGGAGTAGATTCAGATTAAGCATTTAACATAACCTGGAATAATTCATAGGTACCATTGTATATACATCCTGTATCAAGTAAGGAGGCACCATCTAATGACAGATTGGTCCGCTAATAGAGATGCTAAGTTTGATCACTTTGTTGATGTTCACTGCTACATCTTTCCATTTGAAGGTACATTTTCCCCTTTGTAATTAGTAAATTATCTGAGGGGTGATGCTTTGGCACCATTTGAAAATCCTTGCACAACTGTTGTTCATCTAATGGTCTGAACATTCATTGGTGATCTCTGTCTGAATTAACTACTACACAGAGAGTTGCGTAGGAAATGTTTGTTTTCTAAATATATCATTTCTTCTAGAATTACTAGTTGTTAATTCTTGTATGAAGAATTTAATGTTTTTTTAGTATCACTATTATGTTTTTTTAAAAAAAATCAGTATCTTCTAATCAGTTATAGTCATTACCCATTTTGTTGCTTAATTTGTTCTGGTTTTGACCAATGAGAAATCCTTTAAGTGGGCTCCTATGTCTTCTGACATGACCCCGTTAGTGTTTTCTTTTATTGTGATTTTTAAAAAGTAACATAAGAGTAGGACATGACTTACTGACTAAACAACACCAACAAAACGTGAAATTTATCATCTTTAGCCGTTTTTAAGTGTATAGTTCCGTAGTGTTGTTTATTCAAGTTGTTGTGAAACAAATCTCTAAAACATTTCTGTCTTGCAAATCTCAAACTCTGTACCCATTAAAAAATAACTAACTTCTCCCAACACTCCCCCAAAGCCCCTAGTAACCATCATTCTACATTTTGTTTCTATGAATTTTAATACTTTATAGAATCATACTGTACTGGACTTTTTGTGACTGGTTTATTTGACTTATTATAATGTCCTCAAGGTTCTTCATCTGTGGTATAGCATGTGCCAGAATTTCCTCCCTTATGGATGAATAATATTCCATTGTGTTTATAATATATACCACATCTCGTTTATCCACTCCCCCTTTTGTAGACATTTGGATTGCTTCTACCTCTTGGCTACTGTGAATAGTGCTGCTTATGGACATGGGTGTGCATACTTCTTTGAGACCCTGCTTTCAGTTCTTTTGGATATGTCCCCAGAAGTGGGATTGCTGGGTCATATGGTAGTTCTGTTTCTAATTTTTTTATTTCCATAGTGTTTAACACAGTGATTGTACGATAGTATTTTGGAATCTCACCAATTAGGCACATGGGTTCCAGCTTTTCTACATCCCCACCAATGC